TTAAAATAATCAAAGAATTTAGATTTTTGCTGCAAAAAGTAGACCCATATTTTTCTTTTGAAATCATCAATAAAAGTAAGAAAGTATCGATTATTGCTGTTAGATATAGTGTTCATACGACCACACACATCTGAATGAACGAACTCAAGAGGATTCTTTGCACACCAAGTACTTTCAATACCAAAGGATGATCTATGTTGCTTTCCAAGAATACAACCTTCACACAACTGTTCGGGATGATCTACAATGGGCAAGCCTCTCACCAAATTTCTTTGTGCAAGCAACTACAAACTGTGAAAGTTTAAATGTCCAAACCGAAGATGCCACAACCAAGACTTATCATTCATAATAGCATTGAAGCAATGATAAACATCATTCTGTATGTTAACTCAAAACATGCGATTGTTTTTCATAGGGGATTTAAGGATAAATACACCTCTTTTATCAAAGATTAGGAGTTGATTACTAGAGAAGCTCAGATCATACCCCTTTTTAAGAAGTTGGCCCATATTGACTAAATTGTTCTTCATATTCGGTACATAGAATGCATCAGAAATAAACTTGTGGTATCTGTTCTTTAGATTGATAAGAACTCGACCTTTTTCCCATCACTGGTATAGTGTTGTCATCGGCAAACTTGACTTTGGACCAACTCATCCAGGTCCATGAATAACTCCTTCTTTCCGCACATGTGATTAGAACATCCAGTGTCAAGAAACCATGTGTTGTAGGTTGATTCTTCACCGGCTGTCGTGACCATCAATAAAGTGTGGTTGTTTTCATCACCTCTTTCTTATGCAAATTGAACTTCTTCTCCTGATTGGGAATTATCCTGGTACTTGCACTCCTTTGAGTAGTGGCCATATCTGTGACATATGTAACATTCACTATTTCATTTATTAAAATTTCCTCTACCACATCCAAAGCCTCGATCTTGATCTCGACCTCGACCTTGATCTCGACCTCGACCTTGATAATTTGAATTTCATTGATAATTTCTAATCTGATTGTCGTCATCTCTTTGATTATTATTATAACTGCCATGTCCTTGGCTATTGTAGTATTTGCATCCTCGGTTGTTGTAGTTTCCATATTCTCGTCCTCTCTCATGAGAATTTCCTCCTCACTGGTCTCTTTCGAATTGCGCTCCTTTGTTATTTTTTATAAAAGCTTGACTTTAAAAAGCTTTCTCAAGGGGCTTCTCGGTTGACCTCTTATTCATGCGATGATCGTGAACTTGTAAGGTACCCATCAACTCATAAACTATCATCTTAGACAAATCCTTCGATTCTTCAATTGCCACATGTTTGCATTGAAAGTTGTTTTCATTGTTGAATCCATTACACATTTATCAACTACAGATTCAAAGTGAAATTAGTCTTTTTATAAGACTTTCTTACACAATAAAAATAAAAAGGTTACAACTCTCTTCAAACACACGTAGAGAATGTTTATCACTCGCTGCTTGTGTAGGATCTTTGTCTGTGCTAGGGATTATCTGTGGACCATCGCAGAAGTAAATAATCTCGACCAAGCGAGATTACTACTCGTCTCGAGATCAAAACTAAGTTTGATCCGGAGGAAAGGGGAATGGGCCTCAGATCTCTCGAACCCTCCCTCTTTATGCTAAAAAACTTCGCTAAGATTTGCTAGTCTCTCTGAAATATGTCAGAACCTAGCCCTAGCTTCTTTAAAATTCATGGTTCTCTTTAGATCTAACTTTATGAGGGTGCTAGGGGTGTATTTATAGATTTTAAATGTCGTGTTTGTGGATAGGATCGAAGAATAACCGTTATTATCCGTTTAGCTAGGTTTTCAATTATGTAACAGCTTCCACTCATTTAAGGATAACCTCACATGTTTATAGATGACCCAATCCGATCTTATCAAAAAACAATTCGAGAGCAGACCTGGGCGCGAGTCACTTTGAAGTGACTCAGATTTTCCGAGACAATTTGTGATATCTTTGGTATTTTGGCTTTAATTCTCTCGTCCAACCTCATAATGAACTAATTCAAGATGCGTTGAAAAGCTAATAAAGAGATATACAACTTTTGTCTTTTGAGATTTTTTGGATTCAAATCTCATTATGGTCAAAATTTTACTTCTTCGTGCGGGTCACTCTAGAGTGACCTCGCACGTGTGCAAGCCACCTTGAGCCCTCCTGATTGTATTTTCTTCGTCGTTTAACATGTTTAGACATTTCACGTGCATTTATTTGCATCTTTTTATAGCATTAGATGATCCTCGTTGACTTGGATAACCCTCTCTGACTCGGATAATAGCATTCATTGTCTTCTCTTTGTTTCGAACTACGTACGGGAACTTATAGGTAATTTTTGACGCCTACACCACCATGATATGATCAAATTTTGCTATAAGAGATCGCAATATCTTCTTCACAATTGCTAAATATGCAACCTTGTCCCCGTTTATTTTTATTTGATTTGTCAAAGTAAGTACGTTAGTCATGTAATTTGTAACACATTCAACAAGTTCCATCTGTAAAACATCAAATTGATGCCTCAATGTTTGAAGCCTAACTTTTGTCACCTTCTCAACTCTATGGTCTAATATCTCCAAAACATCTCACGCTTGCTTCACTATAGTTCCTCCGTCGATCTTCTTAAAAATTGAATCATTCACTTCTTGATGAATGTAGAATAACACCTTTCGAGCCTTCTTCTTGATCTCACCGTGGGCTTTCTACTCGGTTTTACTTGCGCTATCTGCGAAATTGGCACTTTGTTCTCTATGACACCCAATATATATTGATATTCAAACAACACCTTCATCTGTACTCTCCACTAGTGATAATTCTTTCCATCCAATATAGGAATAGAAGGTGGCGTCATCCCATTTAGATTGTTCATGTCTCTGATACCACTGTTAGGACAATCAATATCAAAGTAAATAGATGCATAATATGTATGAGGAGAGATTTAGTGGGAGAAGCAAATAAAAAAGTTCTTTTTAACTCTCTGTTACTGTAGCTTCTCTTAGGTACAAGGATGCATGAATGCCTATTTAAAGGCTTTACAAAGTGTTTCATAATAGAATTCTACTATGACTATAATTCCTAAAGATAACTAACTCAACCTTTTAGAATTCATTGGTACAAAATGAGGCATCCTAGACAAAAAAATTTCGTCTAGGACAATGACATTTCCGTCTAAATAGACTATCCAAGTCGAAATTTCGTCTGAAATGTTCGTCTAATTAGTTTCTGCCTAGGATAACATATTCTAGATGGATTTTCCATCTAGGAAACATCCTAGATGAAAAATTCTAGATGAAAAAAATTTTCATCTAGGAAACATCCTAGACGGACATCCTAGATGGAAAAATTTTCCGTCTAGGAAGTATCCTAGACGAAAAATCCATCTAGGATGCATCCTAGACGGATTTCTATCTGGGACACATCCCAGATAGGTTTTCCATCTAGGACGTATCCTAGACGAATTTTCCATCTAGGATGCATCCCAGACTGAAAAAATTTCCGTCTGGGATACTTTACGTCATCCCATAAGGAAATTCCGTCTGGGACATATCCTAGACGGATTTTCCTAATACAGTTTTTGCACTTTCTTTTCCTAAATTCCCTATAATTACATAAACCTGAAATTCAATAATAATCCACATCTAACCAAATATGTAAATCCAGCTTTCAAATTAACAATCCAAAATCCAAATATCAGTCCAAATCACATACCATATTACTCAAATTATACTGATACAAGCCAATATATACAAACGAATAAACTATCCGCAAAACAACTTATAATCATCCGCACATGCTACTTCATATAAAACACATCAAACACATTTTTCTTCATACATATCATGTCTCTCTCTCTTACATATAAAATTATCCATTCAATACATAATCAACTCATAGGGGATAATGGTCAATACAGCTAACTATATCAACACGTAGAGAGTCATCCAACATGTTTAACAAAGATAAGTTTCTTTTTTTCAGTTAAGAATATATTCTAATGTAATACAAAGATTAATGGTTTAAGTTGGATGTAGATAGAGATGTATTGACTTGATTAGATATAGATCAATGTGTATAGATTTGATTAAATAAGATTAAATCAGATAATTAGTATTAGTGGACTGCAAGAGCGAGAAGAAATGTTAACTCATGCTCCCATACCACCTTATATATATACTGGTTCACACCAAGCTATATGAACCAGAAAACTAGCCAAAGGGTTGTTAAGTGAGGTGAATATTTTGTTTCTTCCCACAAAAGGGTAACATTTTAAAGGAACATATTAAAGTAATAGATATACAAATCACTAACTTACCACAGAAAATCACGAGTCATCGTCATCGTCAATATCCCTCCCCTGCACGCCAATATTACTTCCTCTAGCAAGTCCAACCTGAAAATAAATAGATTTTATTTTTAGAGTATGAAATTTAGCAATTGAACACATATATTATCAACATACCTCTGCACCAATGTCTAAATTTATAAGAGCCAAAACTTCCTAAATAAGTGATTATAAGTGTTGATGAAATAGGGCAAAATATTATCTAATTATGGATTAGATAATATTAGTAGTTGTATTTTTTGTCACAAACTGTATAACAAAAATGAGAACTTTACAACATCACCCTCCCATATTATCTAATTACAAAAATTAAGAAAATTGTAGAGATTACCTTAAGCTTATCACAATATCACAAACTGTATGAAAAAAATTAAGAAAAATTGTAGAAATTACCTTAAGTTTCTTGGCTGAAATAAGAGGAGTAACTAGCAAATAATTTGCTATAAAAGGGAGGGAAACTAAGGTCAGAAATTAAAATTAGGGTTAGGGTTTTGAGGAAGGGAAAATTAGTGTTAGGGTTTAGAGTAAGAGGAGTACTTACATGTCACCGGCGGCATGAATAGACGATGGCAATGGGCCAGAGAGGACTTGATTTCGGCGAGTGGGAGTAGCTAAAATTATGGTAGGAGGATGACTTGATTTAGGGGAACGGTAATGAGAGAGAGGGATGGAGATGTCGTCGATGATGTCGAAAGGGGTGACGGCCAACAGGGAAGGCACGTGCGTGAGGGGGGAGGTGGCGATGGGATGGCGCAAGGTCGTTTGATGGAGAAGGCCTTCCGTGTTGAAAAACGCGGCTCAAACAATCAACTTCGTCAAAAAATCATCGTGGGCCTGGGCCTTCTCGGGTTCGTTCACAATTCTCCACCTCGGTGAAGTTTCTTCCAAAACTGAGCCGACACCAAAGCATCCAAATGTCCCACTTGTTGTGACCAGTACGAACTCAATCCACAACAAGTCGAGAACCCGAACGAGAGTCCAAACAATCTCACCCCCATCGAAACTAATACAAAACCGGCTGCATCATAAAGACTGCCTACGTATCCTCTTACCCAAGGAATCAAGCCTCCCGTAGTTCATCCAAATGGCCGTCAACGGCCTCAACAATCACGAATGTGCAACAAGTTTTGACAATGAATAAACTTGTTGTTCGGAACCACCTTAGTGAGTATATCTATCGGATTATTCTTCGTGTGGACTTTAACAATCTCCACATCGCCATCTTCAAGAACATCCCGAAAGAAGTGATAACGAACGTCAATATGCTTCGTTCTCGCATGAAAAACCTGATTCTTCGCCAAATAGATAGCACTCATGCTATCATAATGAATAGTGACGGACCTCTGTGATATACCAAGTTCCTCCAAAAGTCCTCGAAGCCAAATAGCCTCCTTCACAGCCTCCATAATTGCCATATACTCTGCCTCCGTCGTAGACAAAGCCACTGTAGACTGTAAGGTGCATCTCCAACACACCGGCGCATGGGTCAAAGTAAACACATACCCCGTAGTAGACCGGCGCTTATCCAAATCCCCGGCATAATCTGAATCAACATAACCAATGCATAACTTCCCACCTTTAGTGTCCCTCTCATAAACCAAACCAATATTGAGCGTACCTCGAATGTACCTCAAAATCCATTTCACTGCGTCCCAATGACCCACTCCTGGATCATGCATGTATCTTGATACCATGCTTACCGCCTGTGATAAATCTGGTCTCGTACATACCATTACATACATCAAGCTTCCAACCGCACTCGCATATGGAGTCTTCGACATCAACTCACGATCTTCAACTGACTTTGGTGAAAGAACAGCTGAAAGCTTCAAATGGGCTCCCAAAGGTACACCAACTGGCTTCGTATCCATGCTAACATGGAATCGCTGTAGAACTTTCTTCAAATAAGCCACCTGTGTCAAACAAATTCTGCCCTTCTTCTTGTCTCTGCAGATCTCCATTCCCAAAATGCGCTTCGCCTCGCCCAAGTCCTTCATCTCAAACTCATTTGAAAGCTGAACTTTCAACTCATCTATAGCCGACCTGGAAATAGAGGCAACCAACATGTCATCGACATAGAGCAACAAATAAATATACGCACCTCCTTTCAACTTGCGAAAATATACGCAAGGATCAAACTGACTCCGAGTGTACGAATGACCAAGCATAAAACCATCAAATCGCCTATACCACTGTCGAGGAGACTGCTTCAAACCGTATAGCGATTTCTTCAGTTTGCAAACTAATTTTTCCTTCCCTACAGCTCGGAATCCCAATAACTGAGTCATATATATTTCTTCATTAAGATCACCATGAAGAAATGCCGTCTTCACATCCAACTGATCTAATTCCAAACCATACTGTGCCACCAAAGCTAGCAGAATCCGAATCGAAGAGTGCTTCACTACCGGAGAGAAAACCTCATTATAGTCAATATCTTCCTCCTGTGCATAGCCCTTCGCAACCAACCTAGCTTTGAACCTCAATGGAGTGCCCTCAATGCCCTCCTTCTTCGTGTATACCCACTTGCAACCAATTACCTTCCGCCCCTTTGGAAGCTCAACAAGCTCCCATGTATCGTTCTTATGAAGAGATTCCATCTCCTCCTGCATAGCCCCCTGCCACGAATCAGCCTCCGAACTCTGCTCGGCCTCTCTGAATGTAGTAGGCACCATCTCATCGATACTCTCCACCAGAGTGTCGGCATACCGTGCTGGCATCTGTATGTTTCTCCTCTGTCTCCGAACCGCAATAGAATCCTGAACCTGAGCCGTCGGTTCCTGATCCTGTACATTTGTACTCGTATCCTCCGTGTCACCGTCGTGCTCGCCTGGCGTCACCTCAGTCGGCACCTGCATGGATACTGTACCATCTGGACAATGTGGAGCTGCATCGATCTCCACCACCTGCGATATCTCCTCCGTCGGGTCGCTCTCCACCTGATGAGAGCTTGGAAGCTTCAAGATAGAAGCTTCATCAAACGTGACGTCCCTACTCAGCACAATTTTCTTATCAACTGGATCCCAAAGCATGTATCCCTTGACACCACGCTTGAATCCTACAAATATGGCCTTCCTAGCTCGAGGTTCCAATTTATCAGTTCTAACATGATAATATGCAGGGCACCCGAATACCTTGAGCTAGTCATAGTCATGTGCTGGCTTTCCCGACCACATCTCCATAGGGTTTTTCCCCTCAATCGCAGATGAAGGCAGCCTATTACTGAGGTGGCTCGCATATGTAAGTGCCTCAGCCCAAAAGATCTTCTCCAAACCACTCTGCGACAATAAGCATCGGATCTTCTCCAGTAAAGACCGATTCAACCTCTCTGTCACCCCATTTTGCTGCGGTGTATGACTAACCGTGAAGTGTCTCTCTATTCCCTCGTCTCGATATAGCTGCAAAAAGGGGTCTGAAGTATACTCACCACCGTTGTCGGATCGCAACGTCTTGATCTTTCTCCCAGTCTGCAGTTCCAATCTCTTCTTCCACTCCACAAACAAATCTAGGACTTTACTTTTCTTCGTCATGGTGTACACCCAACAACGCCTAGAATAGTCATCTACAAAAGTGACGAACCAATGTCGACCACCAAGTGATGCAGTCTTGGTGGGACCCCAAACGTTTGTGTGCACGTAATCCAGGATGCCCCTCGTCTGATGAATGGCAGTCCCGAACTTCACCTTCGTCTTCTTGCCAAGAACACAGTGCTCACAGAACTCAATCTTCCCACTCTTGGTTCCCTTCAATAGCCCCTGCTTGCACAATGCCTGCAGTGACTTTTTACCTGTGTGCCCCAACCTATAGTGCCAAAGTCTGCTCATGTCCGCTTCTAAAATAACCGAAGTAACCTGGCCAATCTCGGTGCTTCCCTTCAGATAATAAAAATTCCGATTACGGACTCCCTTCATCACCACCAATGATCCCTTAGTAACCTTCGCTACAGCATTTTTGAAAGTCACCTTGAATCCCTTCGCCTCCAAAGATCCAACTGAGATAAGATTTTTCTTCAGTTGAAGAACAAATCTCACCTCCTTTAACTCACGGACTACTCCATCGTGCATCCTAATCCGTACGGTACCTATCCCACAAACGCCACAGGATTGATCATTTCTCATGACAACAACGCCCCCGTCAACTTTCTCAAAAGATGCAAACCAGTCTCGCCTAGGGGTCACATGAAAAGTAGCGTCAGAATTAAGCATCCAATCTGATGCATCCACATGGTTCACCTCCGGAGTAATCAGTAGAGAAAAGCACGAATCATCGGAATCATCGCCTTTCGCAACGTTCACCTCATTGGCCTTCGGGCCCTTTTTCTTGCCATTTTCCTTCTCCTTGAGCTTCGGGCGGTCTCTCTTCCAATGTCTCTGCTCCTTGCAAAATGCACATTGGTTCTTTGTTAATTGATGGCGGCTTCTTGACTTTGACCTTCCTCTATTACCACCTTTCGGATATGGGCTTCTACCTCTCGTCAACAAGGCCTCTCCTGAAGTACTAGCGCGGGAAGTCTCATTGTCCTTCCTCCTCAAATCGTAATTGGTCAAAGCGTTAGTCACTTCACTATAGCTGATAGAAGATCTCCCGTTCAACAAAGTGATCACGAAGGTATCATACTCCTCATCCGGTAAGGAGCCCAACAAAATAATCGCCTTGTACTCATCCGATATCTTCTCATCAATATTCGCCAAGTCCGACAACAACTTAGTGTAGTTGTTCACATGAGCCGCTAGCGAGGTGCCTCTGGACATCTGAAATCTGGAGAGTCTTCGCAGCAAGTGCAACATGTTCTCAATACTCTTTGTGAGATACTTATTGTTGAGAATTTCCCTCATCTTCATTGCAGACGTCACCCCAATCACATCATATTTCAGCTCCTGTTCCAAACAAGACCTGATCACCCCACAAATGTTCCTATTCATTTTTTCTCATACCGCCTCATCATATTTAGGTGGTCTCTCGTGGACCATGATGGTCTCTTCCAAATTCTGAGCATTGAGCGCATCCTGTACGTCGCTCATCTACAAACCAAAGTTGATTTTACCGTCATACTTCACCACAATAATCTTAGTGTTCTGAAAACCAACTTGTATTGTACTCGCCATCGATTTGCTTCTTTCACCTTCTTCTCCCATTGCGAACCAACTCCAAATTGTAGAGAAAGAACAAATTTGATAGAATTAGGAACCACCCAACTAAACCCTAGATCTGATTCTAAATAGATTTCCTAACCACACGAGGAAAGCGAAATCTCCAACGGCAACTCCTAATACTATCTCCACCGAAGCCGAGAACTCCAAGAACCAAGCTTCACACAAGAATATTCCTCCACCAAAAAACCCCAGATCTGAAATCTGGGCTCTGATACCACTTGTTGCGCGCAGCGGAAATTTCGGCAGCACTTCGGCAGCACAACAAGAGTTAGGTCGCAATAAGAATTCTTGTTTCTCAAAGGGAACAAGAATCTGAAGCCTAATATCCCATCAAAGTGGGATATTTGCTCTTCCTCTCGTCAGCTCTAGGACTGCGCGTCAAGGGAACCTAAAAAACTATTACAAATCACACAAAAGCGATACAACCAATGTTTACGTGGTTCGGCAAATTGCCTACGTCCACGGGGCAAGGAGGGGGGAGATCTACTAATAGAGGGAGAGGCAAATTGCCTACGTCCACGGGGCAAGGAGGGGGGGGGGATCTACTAATAGAGGGAGAGAATACAATTAGGGTTTACAATCACTCACAAAATAAACCCTCAAACAAACTCTCAGATCCCTCACAATATCTCTAAAAAAGGATGAACAAAATAAACCCTAAAAGAAAAGCCTCTTCTTTTCTTTTGCACCTTCTC